GATGTAGCCGGCAGAGCACACAGTAAGTTCTTCCACTTCCCTTTGCTTCTGGAGATGCGTCTGCTGGGGAGGAAGAGAAAAGTAAGGGTCACCCTGCCCTCTATCGGTCAGTGAGCAATCATTTATTGAGCCCCTGGTAGGAGTCAGAGAAAGGAAGACACAACACAGGCATTTCTGATAGACCTGCACTAAACAACATCGTGGAGAAGGAGGAGGGGGAGAGGAGGGAAGAGAACTCCGCTGCTTGAAGGTGTTCAACTGAGACAAAGCCAGTGAAAAAGAGACTGCAGTGTACGGGGCTTAAGGCACGTGCTCGGTCGTGTCTGACTCTTTGAGACCCCATGGACTAGTAGCTCCTCTGTCTATGGGGATTCTCCAGGCAAGAATATTGGAGTGGGAAGCCATTCCCTTCTCCCAGGGATCTTCCTGACCCAGGGATCAAACCTAGGCCTCCTGCATTGACAGGCAGATTCTTTATCTGAGCCACCAGGGGAGCCTGGCAATGGGAGACAGTGACTAACAAATTTATTGCAAGGAATTGGCTTACGTGATTGTAGGGCTGACTAGGCAAGCCCAGAATCCATCAGTAAGGCAATCAGGAGAGGTGGCCAGAATTCTCAGGCATGGCCTCTCCCCAGGTGGAACTTCTTCTTCTGGGAAACCCTGCTTCTGCTCTTAGGGCTTGTCAACTGACCAAGCCAGGCCCACCTAGATACTCAGGATGATTTCCTTTACTTAACATGTGATGAGGGATTTCAATAACACCTTCAAAATGCCTTTACAGCAACATCTAGATCCACATTAGATTGAATAAGAGGGGGCTGTAGCCTAGACGCGTCGACACATAAAACCAACCATCGCAGGGCACTTTGTGAGGCTTCATGGGAGGGTTGGTAACTGACTAGGTCTCAGCTTCAAAAGGTAGAAAGTAGGGAAGGGGATTTGGGCATCGGGAGCAGCCCTGGCAAAGGCGGAGGGGTTGGGAACTTAAGAAAGAGCCTTGGGAAGTGGATGTGGGTCATTGCGGCTGGAGTCCCGTGGAAATACATTTCATACAAAGGGACTGAAATTGAGGAATAGTTTAATAAATAACAATAAACCAACGCAATGCATTCTCTTAAAGGCATCCTTATGATGCTATAGAACAGCATGGAAAATTTGTCTTGGTCTGATGGTCTATGTAAAACCACAGGAGATGGAAGTCTGATTGAAGGCATATGAAAAGAGATGTTTCTTTTCAGAAACAGAGATGTGGGGATAGAACTCTGAGAGATTTTAGCATTTTTAAATGCTCTTTGCTGTGGTCATATTATCTTTTTTTTTTAATGGAGAGGTTTATTTTTTAAGGGGAAAGATTGGTGTTAGGCTATCAGCTAGAATTGCTCATTCATTCATTAAAACTACAAGGCTCAATGTGGGGCAAAGAAGCAGAATAAGCTAATTCTAAGAAACTGGAAACAGACGAAGACCAGCAGGAGCCCCAGGCTCTGAGGATGAGAGTCCGGGAGGCATGTCCTGTCATCGCTGCAGGAAGCAGGGTCATTCGGGTGTGGGGGGGGGGCGATGCTCTGCTTTTCCAGGCTCCCCCACTTCCCGCCACCCTACCCCACCTCCATATGTGTTTCCAAAATATTCCAGGCCCATAAAATGTCCAAACGCCAGAAGGGCCCACAATGCACGTTGGACCGAATGGATCTGATTCAGCTCTCTTGGTGTTCCCAGAACAGACGTCGAATTCCCAGAACCCTGTCCACCCCCCACAGACAGCTCTGGCCTTTTCTCAGGGAAAAGGAGAAAAAGCCCCTTGGAAACTGCCCAGGCTGCTTCTCCTTGGTATCAAGGCTGTTACCGACCGTGCGGCTCTCCTGCCACGGTACTGACGGTGATCTGCAGTTCACCTTGGTAACTGTCTATAAACAGCATCCTTCCTCAGTGGTCACGTGAAACAGATTTTAGAAAAAACCATTTATCCCAGCGAGGTGTCCGGGAAAGGGTTCTGAGCTGGATTTGAGAGACCTTGCTTCTTTCTAGCTCTGGCCTTGACTCCAACCTGAGTGGTCTGAGAGATTTTACTTATTTATGGGGCAAAGGTTTTCCAAGAGACTGAGATGTGCTAAACACAGTAGCAGGCGTGGCGAAAGACTGGGAGATCAGCGAGACAGGTGTATTTACTACCATAGGCCAGTTGCGCATGTGCGCGCACACACAAGGCTATCACAGCGAGACCGGATGCAAAAGGCAAAAGTTGACAACCCCACCCCTCGGACCAAGGAGAGAACTGTGTGGTCTCGAGGGCTCCCCTGGATTAGGAGGGCTGGTGATGTGCCAGCGACCAGCTCATCTGTCCACGCAGCAGTGGAACTGTGTCTGTAAAGCATCGCTGGGGCTGTGCCTCGCGGGGGCTCCTGCAGCAGATGGGGGTCCCTCCGAGTACCCCCCTGGGTGGTGCCGGTTCTGGACGCATTCACCACGTGCTTTGTGAGCTTGACATGGATTCCTCACACCTAGCATCTGATAGTTGAGAAAGCGAGGCACCATGAGGTTAAAGAGCAACTCAATGGAGGGGGACCAAATTCCAGGTCTGCCTCCGGAGCTGGTAAGCCTGACCACAGGGCCGGGCCTCTTGTTTGTGACCTGGGTTTCCGACTGGACCCCTCAGGCCGTGTTTCCTTCATTCTGTTGTTCTACACACAAGCTCTGACATCTTCATCACCTGTATAACTACTTCTTTTTTTTTCTTTTTTGGATTTCATTTTTCCTTTTCTTTTCTGGCCACACTATGCAGCATGTGGGATCTTAGTTTCCCAATCAGAAATCACACCCATGCCCCCTACGTTGGGAGTGGGGAGTCTTCACCAGCTGACCATCAGGGAATTCCCACAACTGTTTCTTTAATAACGACTCACTTCTGAACTGTTAACTGTATATCACCAACTTAAATGGAAAATGAGTATCATTTGTCACCAAAAATACCCTGCTGAAATAAATACAATAGATCATAAGCAAGCAAGTCTGGTTAGATTTGGGTGTCCAGCCCAGGCGCTGGGCCTGCTGGTTTTGTTGAAAGGGGAGTTACAAACACCAGAGAGGTGCTGAAGACACACAGCCCCAACATGATACTTTTCTCCAAGGTTCAGCTGGAGTTGGTGTGGTTACTAAGCACATGGAGAGGAGTGGCTGGGGGATTATTTACCTTCCGATCCACAGCCCTCGCTTTGGGAACTATCTCCCAGCTCCAGCACACACCCACGAAACAGTGGGCACCAGCTGGTCACCCGGTCAGGGTTCCATAAAGGCAAACCCTGGCCCTGGTGAAAGTGATGCTGTGTGTCCTGGGGCGGCCATCGCCTCACAGCCCTTCAGACGGCGATTCTTGGGGAACCAAAATAGACTCCCTCCGGAACCAAAACAAAAATGAAGAATTTCCCTGGTGGTCCAGTGGTTAAGACTCCATGCTTCCAAGGCAGGGGCTTTCAGGTTCAATCACCAATCAGGGAACTAAGACCCCACAGGCTGCGGGTGGCGCAGCCAAAAAAAAGTGGAAATGACTCTCAGCAGCACCAAGAGCCAGTGTTTATGTGATTCAACAGAAGGAAATACTTTTAAAGTTAAGTCTTCTTGGATCACATTCTGAGAGAGATAGACAACAAGTGAATCAGGATGTTGGATGTTTTTTTCTAAAACATCGGTTTGAAAAACAAGGGGAAATCCCAACTGTAGAGTCACCGTCCCGTCACCCCCACACAGACGCACGGATCAGAGTCTGGGGGAGCATGGGTCCATCCCCCCACCCCCGGCTGTGTCAATGAGAAAACTGAGGTCCAGGCGATCTAAGGGACTCCCTCAAATAGCACCCAGAGGACCACACACAGACCACTGCCACCACCCCAGGTACCCGGGTGCCCACCACAGCCAGCTCCCCACCTCCAAGCCCTCAAATGCGTCCCTGACACCTGAGTTTGTAATCCCCAGACATATTAGTTCGGGTCCAGTAGGAGATTGAGAGGCCACGTTCAAGCTGCCTAATATGCAGAGGTGTTTAAAGAGGGTCTACTTACAGAGTGTAGACAGCATGTGGGGGTGACCTCTGCGGACGACCCTTTCCTCCCAACCTGCGGCCTGAACCCCGAGAGGAGACGGCAGATGTCAGAATCACTGGAGTTGAAAAGGCCCCAGTGGGAGCTGTGAACCAGGGCTGGGCCCAGTCAGTCCCTGGAGGCCCACAAGGGAGGAAGCTAGGAGCCAGATGCCCTCCTCCCTCTCCTCCTCCCCCAGCCTCCTGCTGCTGCCCTGGAGCCAATCCCCATAGAAGCCAGACTGCAGCCCCACCTGGCGTGGTCCCCGCATCCTGGGGCAGGGCCAGAGAGAAGCAGGAACGACGACGCTCCCACACACGGAGCATCCGAGGCAGATGCAGAGAAACTAGAGCCGCCCCGGACTCCCACCGTCCCCCTGGTCCCCAAACTGCCTGCTCTCTGGACAAGGGAGACAGAAAAGCCCCCCACTTTGGTTTGAACAGGAGAGCAATGTTGATGGACATTAACAAACAATTAGGATCCCGATGGGCTGACTCTGCCAGATCTGGGACACCTAACCAGGCAGACCCATACCAGGGGGCGTGGGGGGAGGGTGGGCATCACTCCCCGGGAGGCCCTGGGTTACCTGGGCGGCTGTCACTGTCTTGATGGAAATGGTGACCTCGGCAGGCAGGCTGATGGCCCTCGCCTTGGCAGGGAGCCCCACGGGGGAGGGGAACTCAGCTCCACCCCGCCCCACCGAGTCTCCAGCGCCGAGCATCACGTCTGGCTTCTCCGTGAGACCATGAGCCCCTGGAGGACAGACACCGTGCCAGTCCTCACACTGTGTCCTGGCACCCGGTGTGTGATGGGTACTTAATAGATATTTAAGTGAAGAACCCTGTTTCTCTCCCTAGAGGAGCATGCATGCGTTTTATGGTCTCCAGCCCCACCATCTAACCATCTCCATCGTTTCTCCTCCAGGGAGGCCCTCACTCACCTCCCCCTCTGAGTCCCAATGTTCTCGGCCTGGAAGAGACCAATGTTCCCATCTATTCATGAGGACACGGTGCCCACCACTGCGTCCTTCGGGTGAGTCAGAGGGGCTCCTTGATTTCCTATTTCTGGGACAGGGGTGCGGGCACTCTGGGGAACGCCTAGGAGAGCATGCCCCTCCTCTCTGGGATGATAATGGAAGCCCACTTGAAACAACAGGCAGCGTTAAATCCTAAGTCAAAAGTCCTCAAGGGCTGGTGTTCAAATCCGCAAGGGCCTGTCAGGAGCAGAAGGGAGAGGACTGTTCTGCTTCTGGGCTGGGTGTTGCAGGAGGACGGGAGCACCGGACAGGTGGTCACATGTGAACAAGCGCGGGGTCGAGGGAGGACGTGAAAAGGAAGAAATCAGACAGAGACTGAGTCCAGTCTCCATGGAGACAGGATGTCTCCAACACATGGCCGACTTCTGAGGAAGGTCTGGACACTCTAAAGAGAGAAGGGGGGAGAATGAATCCTGAGTGGAAGCAGAGGAAAGGGAGGGTCAGTCCTGAGGGGGCAGTGTTGGGGGGAGTGGGCAGTGGGGCCCAGCTGGAGCTCTCAGTCCTGTGGCAGGAGGGACCTGCTAGGGAGATGACCAATGGTCATGTCAGTACAGGCCATGGAACATGGGCCCGATCACTCCCAATGAAGCCCTCCCCAGACCACCTTCTAACAATCCTGTGGCTTCTCGGAGTCAGGTATGGGCCAGGAGCCATCCTGTTGGCTAGGGACTACTTTGCTGGAAAATTAACAAGTAGCATCAGGTGGGACACTCGAGTCTCTAGAGAGCCAGACCACAAGAGACAGAACTCCAAGTCTGGGGCTCTGAGGAAACAGGGCTTCTGCCCCTGCAGAAATGACACCAAAGGCTGAACTGAGGGGACCATGCAGGGTAGGACTTACCTTCAGAGGCTCTGCAGAGAAGACTGCCAGTGTCCACGGGTCAGGAATTCAGGGCTTGTCTCTGTTCCGTGATGTCTGGGGCCTCAGTTGGAAGATGCATAGGCTAGGGGACCAGAATCAGCCAGAGGTTTCACTGGGGCCAGAGGATCCACGTCCAGGGTGGCAAGTCGGGGCCTCTGCATGCAGCCTGTCCGTGTGGCTGCTTGAGCATCCTTACAACGCGGCGGCCGGCCTGCTCCCGAGCAAGAAACCCAAGAGGCCCAGGAGGAAGCTGCAAAGCCGCTCACACCTTAGTCTTAGAAGTCACACACGGGCACCACCACCGTTGGCGGGCAGCGAGTCGCTCAGTCTGGCCACATTCACTGGAAGAGGAATTAGACTCCACCCTTTGCAAGGAGGTTTATCAAAGAATTTGTGGGCATAGTAAAACCACCCTCCACGAGAAGAGTATTTCTAGTTCCATCACTTGCTCCTTGAAGCACTCAGGGGCAAAGCCTCACTTTCTTAGCAGCCAGTGATGACTGTCCTTTTTTTCTCTTCTTCAGCCTCATCCCTTGCCACTTCCCCACATCTCGTCCCCCTGCCGGAACCTGCCAGTGGCTTCCCCACTCCTGCGCTCTGCTCAGGCTACTCCTTCTGCCTGATCTGCCCTTCCTCCCTCTCGGCCCCCGTTGGCATGCCCTGCATCCTCTGAGCCCCAGCTCCAGAGTCATCTCCGACCTCCTCCCCTCCTCCCACCCCGAGGCACTCTTTCCACGCTGGGTCTGAGGCATCAGGAGCTTGGACAGGGCAGGGATGTGTGGTGTCCCTTTCTCGGTCCCCACAGCCAAAGTGGAGCTCAGCACGGAGGAGATGCTCAAGAAACATGTAAGGATAAATCCCATGGATGAGTGAGTTCATCACAGGTCCCCATTCTGGCCCCTCCAAGCCAGTCAGCTGCTCCGGGATGTATAGGGGCTTTTCCTGGGAAATCCCAGAGGGTGATCAGCAGATTCTTTCTCATACTCTATTGCTCAGCTCCTCTCCCACAAGCCTACCCAACAATCAAACTGCCCAGGAAGAGTCCCTCCACCTCCGCTATTCCCGCATCCACCCAAAAGAGCACTTGGAACACGTTCAGTTAGTCCTGCCCTCTGCACTGTGCTTTCAGCTTTTCGATATGTCTTCACACCTACTCTTTGATTTGAACCTTGCAATAGCCACGCAAGGCAAATCAACGAGAGAGTAATATTCTACTCCAAAGAATAACAAAGCGGAAGCTCAGACGTAATTTACCCAAGACCACAAAACTAGGATTGGAGCCCATGTCTGTCCAAGCCCCATGCCTCTTTGCTGAAGGCAGAAAGGAACTAGCCTTAGAGAAATACTTGCAGAAAGTGAACTGCCTTCTGGTCTGAGTCTCACCCCAGAATGAAAGAGAAGCCAGCGGGTTAATGATAAAATCAGCAATGTGAGAATAAGAACTGGGACTTCCCTGGTGGTCCAGCTGTTAAGATTTTGTCTCCTAAAGCAGAGGGTGCCGGTTCAATCGCTGGTTGGGGAGCTAACATCCCACTTGCCTTGGGGCCGAAAACCAAAACCTAAACCCGAAGCAATGTTGTAACAAATTCAATAAAGACTTTAAAAACAGTCCACATCAAAAAAAATCTTAAATAAAAAAAGACAAAGAACCAGAGTGGTGCTTGAGTTTGACACTGTTTATTTTAATAAGTTCACACACACACAAAAAGGTAATTATTCTTGTTTATTGAACCGAGTGCAGTGCATGGGACTTTCTGTTCTTTATCTCAGATCTTCACCACAATGCCAAGAAGATTTTGTTATTCCTAGTTTACAAAGTAGACCATTACGCTCCAGAGAGGTTAGTTAACTTACTCGAGGTCACACAGCTAATAAATGAGTCAGGACTGAACCCAGAGGACTCTCTGATGCCAAAGCCCCCACCCTCCCTTTCCGTCAAGCAACCTCAGTTCATCATCAATGCTATGCTGATGGAAGGTAGTGAAGCTCAACAGCTACCCTCTGCCGGGAAGAGGCAGGGCGTGGGCAGATGGGCCGTGGTCTCGGAGCCAGGCTGGAATCTCACTGTCTGGCATGATACCACTTCTCTCTTCTAATTAATGGCTCACTCACAGCCAGGCCACAAGAGGCTGAAAGAGACCAGCATCCTTAGGAGGAGTCCCTGTGATAAGGAAGGAATGTGCTGTGTATTCTCCCACCATGGAAGCTTCCAGGAGGACCAGCATCTAAGACTCACGCTTGTTCCTACGGGCGATGGATGCTGACCAAGGAAACCTCCCAGCGGAGCCTGGAGGCCAAGAACACAAGCTCTCAGTTTGAGCGCAAGGAGCACAGGCAGCTTTCTAAGACCCCCGGGGACTCAGATGCACCAGGACTGTCTGTGAACACAGCACAGCAAAGGCCTGAGTTCCACCCCTAACTGGACGCACCCCCCTCCCTCTACACCAGTTGCTGCTCCTTCCTCCTGTCACCCCGGGGTGTAACTGCCTCTTTTCCACTTTCTTGCAGCGCCAAAATGTTCAACCTCACCTCCCAGGTCCTTGAACCTGCTCTCAACGGGACCCTGCCCGAGAGCAGCAGCTGCTTCCAGTCCGACTGGTGGAACTGGCTCAACACCATCCAGCCCCCCTTCCTCTGGATCCTCTTCCTACTGGCCACTCTGGAGAACACCTTTGTCCTCAGCGTCTTCTGCCTGCACAAGAGCAGCTGCACGGTGGCGGAGATCTACCTGGGCAACCTGGCCGTGGCAGACCTGATCCTGGCCTTCGGGCTGCCCTTCTGGGCCATCACCATCGCCAACAACTTCGACTGGCTCTTCGGGGAAGCCCTCTGCCGCGTGGTGAACACCATGCTCTACATGAACTTCTACAGCAGCATCTGCTTCCTCATGCTGGTGAGCATCGACCGCTACCTGGCCCTGGTGAAGACCATGTCCATGGGCCGGATGCGCGGGGTGCGCTGGGCCAAGCTCTACAGCCTGGTGATCTGGGGCTGCGCGCTGCTTCTGAGCTCGCCCATGCTGGCCTTCCGCACCATGCAGGAGTACGACGCCGAGGGCCACAACGTCACGGCCTGCGTCATCATGTACCCGTCCCGCACCTGGGAGGTCTTCACCAACATCCTCCTGAACTCGGTGGGCTTCCTGCTGCCCTTGAGCGTCATCACCTTCTGCACCGTGCAGATCATGCAGGTGCTGCGTAACAACGAGATGCAGAAGTTCAAGGAGATCCAGACGGAGAGGAAGGCCACGCTGCTGGTCCTGGCCGTCCTGCTGCTGTTCGTGGTCTGCTGGCTGCCCTTCCAGATCAGCACCTTCCTGGACACGCTGCTGCGCCTCCAGGTCCTCTCCGGCTGCTGGAACGAGTACGTGATCGACGTCTTCACGCAGATCTCGTCCTTCGTGGCTTACAGCAACAGCTGCCTCAACCCACTGGTGTACGTGATCGTGGGCAAGCGCTTCCGCAAGAAGTCGCGGGAGGTGTACACGCGGCTGTGCCGGCCCGGCGGCTGCGGGTCCCCGGAGCCCAGCCAGACGGAGAACTCCATGGGCACGCTGCGGACCTCCATCTCCGTGGAACGCCACATTCACAAACTGTCGTAGCGGGTGGGGAGCAGCCAGCGAGCAGATGGCACCCGGGGCTACTGATGGGTGTGACGACGGGTGGACGGCGGCTCTGGGGATGCGCCCCCAGGAGGAAGGAAGGCAGCCCAACTGTGACCTTGGGCGGTGAGTGAGTCGGTGTCTCCAGTAAATTCCTGCCCCGCCCAAGCTGTGGCGAACAGGGCTGCGAGGTTGGAGTGATCTGGTGCACAGCCAAGGGCCCCAGAAATACGACAGTATTATCCTTCTTACTGGCTGCCACCCCTGGGTCTGCTGCTTCCTGAGGAGCGGAGGAGCCTGGGGACAGGGACAGGAGTGGCCGAGCTCCCCTCCCACGTGGTGTGTCACTCTGCCGGAGCATGACCGCTCAGATCTCCAGAAACGCCGCCCTGCTTTGGGGCAGCCGCCGAGAGGGCCGCGCACACTGGCTGACGTGTAGTCTTGGGTTTCTTGAATCCGCTCAACTAGGACTTTGGAGGATGATTCCTCAGGTCAATGAAGGTTAAACTCTGAGCGATCCATGGTGAGAACCCAGAGACCAGGACTCTCGCTCCCCTTGCAGAAAGACAAGTGGTCTGTGCCAAAGACGAACCCAATAAGTACTTACCCAGCACTTGCTGTCCGCGCAGCATGGAACCCTGTGGGCAAGAAAAAGGAACAGTCTGTCCTGAAGGAACTTGCAGACTCGCGATGATTCAGCAGCCACCGAAAGGCCGTTCTAGACGCGGTCAAGCCAGGCACTGTGGACTGGGCAGGGCGGAGAAGCGGGGCGCCCCAGCTCAGAGGATAACTGGCTGCACATGGCCGCGTCCCCGCCTCGGTTTCCTCCCGGCAACACCAGGTTGTTGTGGGGATTAAAGGAGGTAACAGGCACAGAAGTACTTTGACAAATGAAAGGTGCTATGTAAATGTGAGGCATTATTATGACCGCAGAATGGGAATAAATTTATTCTAAGGAGAAAGACAAGTTCAGCAAAAGGTCTGTAGAAGAGAATCGGTATTGAAGCCAGTGGTTGTGGAAAACACGCATTAGTGTCTGACACATACCAGGTGCTCCGTATGTTAAGCTCCCTTCCACCAACAGTCCTTCCTGTCAATTTGCACGCGTGCACGCGCGCGCGCACACACACACACACGCACACACACAAGCATTTTCAGGAAAGGTCACCCCTTCCATGGAGGCGGGAGAACACCCTCCCCATCCCACCTCCAGCGGATCATTTACCTGAAGAATCAACTGCAAAGGGGCCACGGCCTTGCCTCCTGTGGGCGGGGCCAGGTGGCGAAGGGCGTGGCGGGCAGCGATGGGCGGGGCGGAGGGCGGGTACCGTCCTTGGCTCTTAAAGGACAGGTGCCCGGCCCCAAGCCCCAGGTCCTCCAGGGGGAATTCCTTTCTTCTTTTTCTACACGTTTTATAATCTGCCTCCCGACGCCGGCCCTCTGGGAGAACAGGCCATCCAGACGCCAACATCAGGCTCTTAGAGTCAAAGCAGTGATGGGTGGTCAACAGCAGTGGCGTTCAGGAGCTTCCCGTAATGCAGGCAGCGCCCTGGAAGCACTCACTGGATCAGTGAGTGATGGTGATTCCTTAGCGGGCTCTCCCTGGGGAGGATCCTCCCCAGGGCCAGCAGGATTGGGATGGCAAAGAGCCCACAAATCCTGACCAATCCAGCTCTGGACTTTAAAAGAAAAAGGGTCACAAAAAGATTTACTCCCCATCCCAGTCTTTGTTTCTGCCATGCAAGCCCCTCTGCCCAAATACACATACACGTTCATAGCTAGAGAAAGAAAACAGGTGAAATAAGAAGTATAAGCCATTTCATATTAGAATGAAGTGAAACCATTTTGCGGGGATGTGTTGGTAAAGAATCTGCCTGCAATGCAGGAGACTCCAGTTAGATTCCTGGGTGGGGAAGATCCCCTGGAGAAGGGATAGGCTGCCCACTCCAGTATTCTTGGGCTTCCCTTGTAGCTCAGCTGGTAAAGAATCCGCCTGCAATGCCGGAGACATGGGTTCGATCCCTGAGTTGGGAAGATCCCTCGGAGAAGGTAAAGGCTACCCACTCCAATATTCTGGCCTGGAGAATTCCATGGACTGTATAGTCCATGGGGTCGCAAAGAGTCAGACATGATTGAGCAACTTTCACTCACAAACCATGTCTGTAATGTGAGTGGAGTTTCACAAAAGGAGGCTTGGCTGGGCTTTGGGGAGTGAGGCAATCATTCCTCAGCAGATGTGTATGGTCTGAGGGTCTCCTGTCAGCAGAGCCCTGGGCTCCTAATGACCATTTAGGGTCCACCCATGGGCAGAGGAGCGATTTGTCTATGGGAGGGGAGCTGCCCTGTGGGTTGTGTTGATACTGTGATAAAGAACATCTGTTCTGTGAAAGATCCAAAGAGCTATGACATTATAAAGAGGGATCGCTTCACAAACGAGGAGGAATGGATGGATGGTGTCAATGTGCCTTTTCTTTCCAGCATAATAAAGGGATGAGGCATTTTTGTGTAGTTCTTTCATTTGTTACAACTCCCCAAACCCTGAATCTTGTCACAGACACTGCCATAGGCAGTTAGAAGTCTTGGGGGCAAGGGTTCCATTTATTTCCACTCAACCTACTTAAAGGCTCTGTGCTATAAATTAGTGGTGTCCAAACCATTGTAATTGCATATCCATATAAGTAAAAAAATTTTGATTATTTTTACCTAATCAGTTAAGTTCAGTCACTCAGTCATGTCCGACTCTTTGTGACCCCATGAATCGCAGCATGCCAGGCCTCCCTATCTATCACCAACTCTCGGAGTTTACTCAAACTCATGTCCATTGAGTCAGTGATGCCATCCAGCCATCTTATCCTCTGTCATCCCCTTCTCCTCCTGCCCCCAATCCCTCCCAGCAACAGGGTCTTTTCCAATAAGTCAACTCTTCGCATGAGGAGTTTCAGCTTCAGCATCAGTCCTTCCAAATGAACACCCAGGACTGATCTCCTTTGGGAAGGACTGGTTGGATCTCCTTGCAGTCCAAGAGACTCTCAAGAGTCTTCATCACCACAGTGCAAAAGCATCAATTTTTTGGCGCTCAGCTTTCTTCACAGTCCAACTCTCACACCCATACATGACCACTGGAAAAACCATAGCCTTTACTAGAAGGACCTTTGTTGGCAAAGTAATGTTTCTGCTTTTTAATATGCTATCTAGGTTGTTCATAACATTCCTTCCAAGGAGTAAGCATCTTTTAATTTCATGGCTGCAATCATCATTTGCAGTGATTTTGGAGCCCCAAAAATAAAGTCAGACACTGTTTCCACTGTTTCCCCATCTATTTGCCATGAAGTGATGGGACCAGATGCCATGATCTTAGTTTTCTGAATGCTGAGCTTTAAGCCAACTTTTTCACTCTCCTCTTTCACTTTCATCAAGAGGCTTTTTAGTTCCTCTTCACTTTCTGCCAGAAGGGTGGTGTCATCTGCATATCTGAGGTTATTGATATTTCTCCCGGCAATCTTGATTCCAGCTTGTGCTTCCTCCAGCCCAGCGTTTCTCATGGTGTACTCTGCATATAAGTTAAATAAGCAGGGTGACAATATGCAGCCTTGACGTACTCCTTTTCCTATTTGGAACCAGTCAGTTGTTCCATGTCCAGTTCTAACTGTTGCTTCCTGACCTGCATACAGGTTTCTCAAGAGGCAGGTCAGGTGGTCTGGTATTCCCATCTCTTGAAGAATTTTCCATAGTTTATTTTACCCAATATGTACACGTATTAACATGCATTAAAATGTACCCTCTTAAACATACTCAAGTAGAAATTTAAGAAATTTCAACAGTTCAGATACTTTCTCCCATCCCACACTGGTGACTCAATAAGCTCCCATCAGGTGCCCATGAGGCCCCATGAGGTCCTAGAATCATAAGTAAAAGTGAAAAAGTGAAAGTATTGGTTGCTCAGTCATGTCTGACTCTTTGCGACCTCGTGGACTATAGCCCGCAAGGCTCCATGAAATTCTCCAGGAGGCTCAGGTGGTAAAGAATCCGCCTGCAATGCAGAAGACACGGGTTTGATCTCTGCATCGGGAAGATCCCCTGAAGAAGGGAATGGCCCTCCACTCCAGTATTCTTGTCTGGAGAATTCCATGGACAGAGGAGTCTGGCAGGCTACAGTCCATGGGCTGTCAAAAATCATAAGGATGACAGCAATTCATTTATGCATGTGATATGTATCTATTAGGTGTCTTCCATTTGATTTCCATTTGACAAGGTCTAGATCAAACAGTTGTCTAACCACTTCTTGCATTCTCACAGTGATCGGGAACTCATCACCCACTCCATTTTGAGATCCCTTCATTATTCATGTATTTAATCATTCATTAAACAAAGCTTGCATTCTGTGTCTACAGAAATGTCACTGCTCCATCTCTGCATCCATCCATCTCTGCTACCAACCTAGTGCTCATGGTAAAGAGGAACAACCATCTCTGTTATTCCTTCCACCTAGTGAATTGGTACCTTTTTAGATTCCCCCTCAAGTGTTTCCTGCATCCATCTGCTTCTTTCTGTGTCTAACCATCATCTCTTATTGGTCTCCCCAGCTCTGACATTAACCACCACCATCCCCAATTCTTATTTTCCACTCTGCAGCCAATGACATCTTTTAAGAAGGCAAAGACAATGATAGGGAGACTATACATGTAAAGGAGAGTGTTTAGAACTCCATGACATAAATCAAAGTAGCATCCTCTATGACCCACCTCCTAGAGTAATGGAAATAAAAACAAGAGTAAACAAGTGGGACCTGATTAAGCTTAAAAGCTTTTGCACAGCAAAGGAAACTGTAAGCAATGTGAAAAGACAACCTTCAGAATGGGAAAAAATAATAGCAAGTGAAACAATTGACGAAGAATTAATTTCCAAAATATATAAGCAGCTCATACAACTCAAGACCAGAAAAACAAACAACCCAGTCAAAAAGTGGGAAAAAGACCTAAACAGACATATCTCCAAAGAAGACATACAGACGGCTAACAAACACATGAAAAGATGCTCAACATCGCTCATTATTAGAGAAACGCAAATCAAAACTACCATGACATATCACCTCACACCAGTCAGAATGGCCATCATCAAAAAGTCTACAAACAATAAATGCTGGAGAGGGTGTGGAGAAAAGGGAAACTTCTTGCACTTTTGGTGAGAAAGTAAATTGATACAGTCACTATGGAAGACGGAATGGAGATCCCTTAAAAAAGTAGGAATAAAACCACCAGATGACCCAGCAATCTTACTCCTAGGCATATACTCTGAGGAAACCTAAAATGAAAAAGACACATGTCCCCCAGTGTTCACTGCAGCACTATTTACAATAGCTAGAACATGGAAATGACTTAGACATCCATCAACAGATGAATGGATAAAGAAGTTGTGGTACATATACACAGTGGAATATTACTCAGCCATAAAAAGGAATGCATTCGAGTCAGTTCTTAAACCTAGGGCCTATTATACAGAGTGAAGCAAGTCAAAAAGAGAAAGATAAATGTTGTATACTAATGCATATGTATGGAATCTAGAAAGATGGCACCAAAGAATTTATTTGCAGGGCAGCAATGGAGAAACAGACATAGAGAATAGTCTTGTGGACATGGGGAGAGGGGAGGGGAGGGTGAGATGTGTGGAGAGAGTAACAAGGAAACTTACATCACGGTACATAAAATAGATGGCCAATGGGAATTTGCTGTATGACTCAGGGAACTCAAATAGGGGCTCTGTATCCACCTAGAGGAGTAGAATGGGAAGGGAGATGGGAGGGAGGTTCAAGAGGGAGGGGGCATATGTATACCTAAGGCTGATTCATGTTGAGAGAGTGTCTCACCACTCTTGGGATAAAGTTCCACTTCTAAAGCATCGCTCACAAGACACTTCATTAGCTGGCCCCGGGCTTGCCTCTATCCCTCCCCCTAGTCCCTGGCTCACTCCCTACTCTCAAGCCATGCTGGACACAGTGTCTGGCAGGTATTCCATTCCCCCTTCAGTGCCTACACTTTCCTCCCTGCCTGGACTCCAATGGGGCCTTGAGCTTGGAGAAAGCTTAGCGCAAGTGTGCAAGGGAGCTCACTCATCGAGGGACTTTGTTCATGGATGGGGTCTGACTCAAGAAAGTCTGGGATCCGGGGGTGTGAGCAGGGCTCTGAGCGGGTAGAAACGGGGTCAGAAAGCCTCCCTCCCACCTCCCTCTGTTCCCAGCCAGGTAACAAGAGCGGCTCTCATCTCCTGACCCTTCTTGGCCCCCAG